AAAAATGTTTCTGATTGGAAATTAAATACTCTTTAAATTGGTGGTCAGTATGGTAAAGCCCAGGCAATAATGCTTTAAGAAGCAGTAGCCTGAATTTGAAATTTGTAAATAGTCATGAGTCATTTGTTAATACAGTCAAGAAAACAATGTGGAGGTAAAGTGCTTGATTCTTTTTAATTTGCTGATTTTAAATGTAAAACTGTTGTAAATGATAACACTGTACAGATTTTCTGCTGAAAGCAGTTAATGTTTCCATTACTTTTGTATGGGATGTTGCTGGAAAATAAATGGAATTGCATTTACTTATGACTCTTCTACTTCGTTTCCTACTCGTGATGTTCTGTGGATAACAAAATGCAGGAAAATACTGAAAGCCATGTATCTGAGACTGATACTGATACTAGGCTGGGATATGTGTGTGTTAGCACCATCCTCTGACTTTGAGGGAGACTTTAAAACCTATTTATTTGTGTGCAGGCCACTGGGGTGAATTTAAGACTTAGTTATAATGGGTAAGCCTGTTGTTGACCTTTTGCAGGCCCCTTAGAAGCAGTTTAGTTCAGCAGATGTCCATTAGCTGGTTACCAAGTTCTGTTCTCTAGAAAAACTGCTAGGAGAGCTAGGTGGACACTTCCATCTTGTTTACTATAGAGGACCTTTTGTTAAAGTCACCACGCCTGGTTTTATCTCTAAAATGGAATTTCTGGGTGTTGGTGATACAACACTGTCAAACTGAGTGCAGACACTTAAACTTTTCAACTCAAGTGAGTATCCCAGCTGTAAGCAATATTACTAGTGATCTAATTTGTTGAGCACTCTTAAAATCTGGTAGCTTGATCTGATGGGGAAACTTCTGAGAGGAAGCAGTGGCATGGGGATAAGGATGGAGCTGTGCTCTGGTGTTAAGGAGACGGCCTTCCTAGCATGTATTTCTTCCAGAAAAGGCAGCAAAGTGATAGTTAGTCTTGCTTACTACCTGGAGTGAGCCCTCTCTGCCCTCCCCAGATTGCTTTTCCTCATGGCACGTTTTCTGGCCACACTGTCCCTGGTTGTTCTGAAGTTTTCGTTGTGTAATACCTAATTGTAGCTTGAGCCGCAATTTGCTTTGGAACTTTTTTCCTATATCCCCTTCAATAAAAGTGGTCTTAAGGTCAAGCCAAACTCTTCCATGTCTAACTAGTATCATTTGATGCCTTTACTTAAGGCTTCTACGTAATGGCTAAAAGGGGTTTAAACTAGACTTCCCAGGTAGCACAGTAACTGTTCTGAGTGTCTCGGTTTTTAACTTTGATGATAGGCCTGACAGACAATTGCATGGGAAGCTACTTGGGAACATTATTTCAAGTCACAGCTACTTACTATTAGTTTTTTTAATGGTTAATGCAGCTAATTTGAGTCCGCCGTGTAAAGCTTAACACAGTTCTGCCTCTGCCACTTGACAGTTAGTAACTGATGGTACTAAACTATTTTCAGAAGTGTTTTTTTAAGAGTATGTGTGTTACTTCTGAATGTTTTAAAGGTTAGTAATGAGTAACGTGAAGCCAAGAACAAAACCATTCATGTCTTAAGCTTCAAATAGTTCATGCAGTTGAACATCAGTCTAGAATAAAGTATTAATGTTAAATGATGTGTTTCTACCCAGTGTGAAATGTGTAAAGCAAGATTTCTGTGGAAAACTACATATTGCGTACCTGGAAACTAGTATTTTGTGTCAACTTGATTCTGTCTTCATAACCTTGAAGTGCAGGTTAGTGGTTAACACTTAGATGTGTCACAGTTTGTGTGTTATCAGGAGGCACCAGGTGCTTGTGCTGCTTGTACACTTGCTGTAGTGAGTAGTAATACTCAGGCTGTCTAGTTTGGTGGTGTTAGACTGGAATGGCTGTGCAGTGGATTAGGTGATCAGTGAATTGGCTACTATTTGTGCTATTCTTAACCTCAGGGTATACCTAAATTTTGCACAAATAAAGTGGCAGAACTTTTCAAGGGTACACCCAGGCTGTCGAGGATATCTTAGATGAGCTTAAATCTTGAGGTACTAACAGGTAGATGTAATCTGCTCTCCTGTGCAACACAAGCCATAAAATACCACCTTAAATAATTCTGGAGTGAATCACTAACTTTAATCCTTATGTGGAGAACCAGAATGAGGCAGTATTGGAGTCCCTGTGCTAGAAGAGAAACATTTAGATGAGATTTTTTAAGGGGAGGCAGGGGGTTGTGGTGTGTTAATCTGTACCTGAGTATCAGAACAGCCAGTAGAATGATTTTTTTTTTTAAGGGAAGTTTTTCTACACCACTGTGGCTAGGTAAACAGGTTGGATCAGTGGAATATTCAAAAGATTTAGAGGCTTCCAAAGGGTAAGGTTACTTACACCTGGATACTTAATGAGAATACTGAACCCAATAAACATCTGCTGAGATAGCTAAGGGAAATGCATACATTTCAGAGCTTATTGCACGACAATTTGTTACTCTACTAGTCTGGAAAATGTCCATGTCTCTGAAAATCATTTTTATTAAGTTTTTTCCATAACTGCACAAAAAACTCATTCCAGAAGGCATCTAGGTATGGTATCTGAGACTGTTAATACGGTTCTTAGTGGGAAGATAATACATGAACAAATACTATTAAAAAAACCCAACAACCCAGAACAACCAAATAAACCCAAAACAAAAAAACCCATGATCTTTTTGAGTAATTTGGGTTCTCTGTGACAGTCCTTATGATTTTGTGACTTGTGTTCCTTGGAATCTGTATTAGAAGACAAAATGTGGGCGTCTTTTTCGGACTAAAACATCCAGGTACGGGGGAATGTGAGGAAAACATTATGAAGAACCATAATACCTATGCAGTGTAGAAAGATATTAGGCAAACAACTGAGACTAGTACTTTTCTGTTATAATGGAACGTACAACAAATACTTCTACTTTGGCAAATGTCTTGAGATGCTTTTAAATTTCTGCAGAGTAACTTCTCAGTGGTTAGTCCATAAACTTCTATATCATTTGAGACAAAGCCAACTAACCTGCTACTACTCAGCCAAGATTTTCAGCATAGGACTTGGGGTCTGGTCAACTTGCTCTCAGTGTTGCATGCAACCTGCCCTCTGAGCAATGCTCTCTGAGCATTGCACTTGTATACACAACTGCCGGCCCCGTTGAGATTAGTGTTGCTTTTCACTGTGCTGCGCTCAGTCAGTTCCATCTGCATTCCATCCTTTCACCTTTCAAAGCTATGTTGTGTCACTTCTGCTTCAGAGTGTAAGGTCCTTTGTTACTGTTCCTTTTTCTGTGCTGATTTATCCCTTGTTTTCTTTTCCTCTAATGTGCTTCGGCTAGCTTACAGATAACTTAATTCTGCTGGCTTTGTTAAAAGCAAACCGTAGGTGCCGTTCAGCCTGTGTGCTTACCGAGGAGCTAGGTACGTGTTGATAAAACATCTCAGCCTAGAAATGTAGCTGGTCCATGTTCAGTAGCTGTTTGTGAAACAGGCTCAGATTTTGTAATTTATCCTGAAACAGCTGGGCATCCACAGTAGCATCTTTAATCCTACGAATTATTCCCCTTTGCTTCAACTGCTTAGTGAACTTGGTTTTTATGGATTGCGTTTAAAGAGAGTGCTCACATTGTCTGAGTTTGGATGTTTTTTCAAAGGTGCTGACCACTGAATTGGAAAACAACTTTTTTGCAATAGAATAAAGCCCTCTAGTGGTTAAATGTGGGATAACCTAATCCATTTAGGTTAATGTCTGGTAATAGACTGATCTTATGGAAAAATAACATCCATATGTTCAGTTGTGCATAGTTGCGTACAGTGGAGTTTGCTTCAGATGGAGAATTGGCAAGTACTGTTGTCAAACTTCAGACTTATTAGGTTAAATTCCTTTAAAAATAAAAATGAACAGGTTGTTACGTAGGCAGCAGAACCTGTCAACCCAGCTTTTTATAGATTTGTGCCTTCTGGTTTATGTTTCTCTTACTCCCTTCGCACCAAGTCTTGTCCTTTCAGCATCCTTCATACCATGCCTGGCTAACTGACAGTAGTCTTAGCTATGGCTAAGTTAAAGCTCCATCTGTTTTGACTGGATAGTTGGTATACATGTGCTGGTAGGA